TAGCCTCCAGCTCACGCGTTTTTGTCTTAGCTCGGGCAGGATGGCTCCAGAGGAAACTCAAATCTGCAATCTAAGTAATGCAGTGGCCAAATTGCGCTCTCCCAACTGGAGGAGAAGAAGAAGAGATTGGATTTATCCCCCCCCCTTCACTATCCAAGGGAGTCTCAGAGCGGCTTACAAACTCCTTTCCCTTCCCCTCCCCACAACAGGCACCCTGTGAGGTAGGTGGGGCTGAGAGAGTTCTTTCGAGGACTGCCCCTTGAGAGAACAGCCCTGAGAGAATTTATGACTGAAGAAGAAGAGATTGGATTTATACTCCGCCCTTCACTACCCAAAGGAGTCTCAGAGCGGCTTACAAACTCCTTCCCCTTCCCCTCCCCACAACAGACACCCTGGGAGGTAAAAGGAGAAGAAGAAGAGATTGGATTTATACCCCGCCCTTCACTACCCAAGGGAGTCTCAGAGCGGCTCACAAACTCCTTTCCCTTCCCCTCCCCACAACAGGCACCCTGTGAGAGAAAAGAAGAAGGAGAAGAGATTGGATATATACCCCGCCCTTCACTACCCAAGGGAGTCTCAGAGTGGCTTACAATCTCCTTTCCCTTCCCCTCCCCACAACAGACACCCTGGGAGGTAGGCGGGGCTGAGAGAGCTCTTGACAGAAACTGCTCTTTTTCAAGGACAGCTCTTATCAGAACTACGCCTTGCCCAAGGTCATCCAGCAGGTGCAAGTGGAGGAGTGGAGCATCAAACCTGGTTCTCCCAGATTAGAGTCCTCGCACTTAACCACGACACCAAACTGCAATGCCAGTAGCTCACAAAGTACAATTTTTGCTCACGAGACTCCACAGCTTAGAGGGAGCATTGCATGGGGGAAAATGAGGGTCAATCAATTGAAAAATTAAAAACTTCCCCTCCTCCAAAAAGGGGAGCACATCAGTGAGGAGTTAAAAAGGACCTGAAGTGCATGGTGGAAATGCCAGCACACAAGCATCGCCCCCTGTCCTGCACCCACTCGTGGGCCGTGTCTGCAGTTCTATTTTCAAGTGACAATCTATGGTTGGCCCAGGGGTCATTTCGTAGAAAAAGAGGTGCAGGGGCTCATTAGCATAACTCATTAGCACAACTTATTTGCATATGCCACACCCCCTGACATCACCGGAAGTTTGTCAGAAGGCAACACCCATCACTCAGGCTCCACTGGACTGTTTTGGATTGCTAGCTTGGGGGCGGGGGCGGGGGGAGGAACGTGCAGATCTGCCCTCGCAGAGGAGGGAGAGCTTGTACCTGAATAAAACTTGGTCTTAAAGGTGCCACTGGACTGTTTTGGGCCGGGGGGGGGGCTCTGGAACTTACCTGGCTGCTTCTTGCTCTGACTGAGGGCTGCTGGGAGCAGGGGGTGGGGCTTGTTGCATGTGCCCGCCCCCTGGGCTCTTTACTGCCAGAGCTCCGCTCCTGTGCGCTCCTGCAGGAAATGACCCCTGACTTTAATCATGTGTTCTTCTGTTCCTTCGACTATGGGCAGCAAAGTGGGTGGTCGCCCCTGCCTGGCTTAGTGCAGCATCTTTTGGCAGACATTCCTCTCCCTCACCGTGAAGGTCCCTTCCTGTCTTACAAGAGACAAAGGGAAGAATTCAGAGTGCCATGGGGGGGTGCACCACATTTGATCTAGTCCCGCAGCAGTCTCACCCCTGCATTGAACTGGGGCACCACTGCATCGGTCCAGGTCAGGTTTCTTAGGGCTGGAACAGGCAAGAGGCTCCATCATACCTGCAGTTTTACGAAAACGATTACGACTCTACGTAGGCAGAAACCAGGTGACCTCGTCCCATTGTTACCACAGACAGCTTTTAAAAGGGATTGGACAGCTTCACGGAGGAGAGGTCGATCAGTGGCTACTAGCCCTGGTGACTGAAAGGGAACCTCCATCAGAGGCAGGCAACTTCTGAATCCCAGAACCAGGAGGAAACATCAGGGGAAGGCCTCAACCTCTGTGTCCTGTTGTTGGCCCTCCAGAGGAACTGGCTGGCCCCTGTGTGAGACGGGAGGCTGGACTAGGTGGACCCTCACTGATCTGAACCAGCAGGACTCTTCTGATGTTCTTCTCAGGGGAAGGCCTCGGCCTCTCTGCCCTGTTGTTGGCCCTCTAGAGGAACTGGTTGGCCCCTGCGTGAGACGGGATGCTGGACTCGGTGGACCCCTGGTCTGATCCAGCAGGGCTCTTCTGAGGTTCTTCTCAGGGGAAGGCCTCGGCCTCTCTGCCCTGTTGTTGGCCCTCTAGAGGAACTGGTTGGCCCCTGCGTGAGACGGGATGCTGGACTCGGTGGACCCCTGGTCTGATCCAGCAGGGCTCTTCTGAGGTTCTTCTCAGGGGAAGGCCTCGGCCTCTCTGCCCTGTTGTTGGCCCTCTAGAGGAACTGGTTGGCCCCTGCGTGAGACGGGATGCTGGACTCGGTGGACCCCTGGTCTGATCCAGCAGGGCTCTTCTGAGGTTCTTCTCAGGGGAAGGCCTCGGCCTCTCTGCCCTGTTGTTGGCCCTCTAGAGGAACTGGTTGGCCCCTGCGTGAGACGGGATGCTGGACTCGGTGGACCCCTGGTCTGATCCAGCAGGGCTCTTCTGAGGTTCTTCTCAGGGGAAGGCCTCGGCCTCTCTGCCCTGTTGTTGGCCCTCTAGAGGAACTGGTTGGCCCCTGCGTGAGACGGGATGCTGGACTCGGTGGACCCCTGGTCTGATCCAGCAGAACTTTTCTTATGTTCATTTTATTTGGGCCCCAGTAGCTTTCCAAAATTTCCATAAAGGCAGCCTTTGTCTATAGTTTCACTAATGAGGGAAAAGTGGCAGAGGGGGGAGTTGGTGAAGATCAGAGGAACTCCACATTTCAATGTTACGTTTTGTCTTCTAACGGAGAAGCCCTAACTGCTAAATATGATACCAGCACCACTATGGAGCCTGAGAAGGCTCTGTATACGTGGCGACATTTGGCCCCTGGCTGGGTCACCAAGAAACCCCTGAGTTTCTGATGCCGGCCTTCTTTATTCAAAGCTCTTGAGAGCCAGCAAACAAGTTGTATGTGTGGAGGTCACTGAAGACGTTCAGTGGAAACGCTCCGGGAGTGCGCAACCTTCTGTCTTCCACCTCTGACCCACCTGAAGTCGGGACTACAGATGGTTTTGAACGTCACCAGATCTCACCAATAGAAATTGTCCCAACTGGTGTTCCCTCTAAGCTGAATGAGTGTGAGCTAGCTCACAATTTTTTTAGCCTCCAGCTCACATATTTTTGTCTCCGCTTAGGAAGGACGGCTCCAGGCCGAACAAATTTAGGCAGCAGCCAAATCGCTCGCTCACAACTTTAATGCCAGGAGCTCACAAAGTAGAACTTTTGCTCACAAGACTCCACGGCTTAGAGGGACTATTAAAGTGACGGTCACCTTTTCTACAAGCTTTCTCTAGTGTTGCTTTCTCTACAAGGTGCAAGAAGGGATATTTACACCTGAGATCTGGGGAAAAGGAAATGGAGCTTAAAAGTGTCCTGGCAGAAAGCCAGAGAAGTATCCCCCCCCAAAACTGGCGATGAATAGCGGTGACTGTGGTCAACCGTTTCATGGATTTCACAGGACATTCAGTAGCCAGTTAAGGGGATTCTCAAAGAGTCAACATTTACACTGTTAGCTCTGACTTGGATGGCCCAGGCATACCCCCCAGCTCATCAGATCTCAGAAGCTAAGCAGGGCCAGCCCTGGTTAGCGCTTGGAGGGGAGACCACCCAGGAAGTCTAGGGTTGCTACGCAGAGACAGGCAATGGCAACCCTCCTCTGTCAGTTACTTGCCCTGACCTGGATGGCTCAGGCAAGCCAGATCTCATCAGATTTTGGAAGCTAAGCAGGGTTGGCCCTGGTTAGTCCTTGGACGGCAGACCACCCAGGAAGTCTAGGGTTGCTACGCAGAGGCAGGCAAATGCAAACCACCTCTTTTTGTCATTTGCCCTGACCTGGATGGCCCAGGCGAGCCAGATCTCATCAGATTTTGGAGGCTAAGCAGAGTCAGTCCTGATTAGTCCTTGGATGGCACACCACCCAGGAAGTCCAGGGTTGCTACGCAGAGGCAGGCAATGGCAACCCTCCTCTGTCAGTCACTTGCCCTGACCTGGATGGCCCAGGCGAGCCAGATCTCATCAGATTTTGGAAGCTAACCACGGCCCTGGTTAGTCCTTGGATGGCAGACCACCAAGGAAGTCTAGGTTTGCTATGCAGAGGCAGGCAATGGCAACCCAGCTCTTTTTGTCATTTGCCCTGATGTGGTTGGCCCAGGCTAGCCAGATCTCATCAGATTTTGGAGGCTAAGCAGAGTCGGCCCTGGTTAGACCTTGGATGGCACACCACCCAGGGAGTCCAGGGTTGCTACGCAGAGGCAGGCCATGGCAAACCGCCTCTGTCTGTCTGTCTGTCTCTTGCCCTGACCGGGATGGCCCAGGCGAGCCCCATCTCATCAAATCTCGGAAGCTAGGCAGGGCCAACCCTGTTCGCCTTTTGCCACGATCTGCACGGCCCAGTGTAGCCCCATCTCGCCAGATCTCGGAAGCTAAGCAGGGCCGGCCTCGGTGAACATTTGGGTGGGAGACCACCACGGAAGCCCAGGGCCGCTACGCAGAGGCAGGCAAGTGGCAAGCCACCCCTGAACGCCTCTCGCCTCGGGAATCCCAAGGGCCCTGCCATGAGTCGGCTGTGACCTGAGAGCGCTTTTTCGCCACCGCCGGCACACTCACCTATCTCCTCTGAGGCCTAAAATCCCTTCGGATGAATTCCAGGAAGAGGGAGGGAAGGATTCCGGGAGAGGTGGTAGAGAACTGGCCTGCTGCCGTTCCTTCTCTTTCCTCCAACCTCCCCCCCCCCGCCCAAACAAGGCTGATGAAAAGGGGGGCCTCGGTTGGCAGGGCAGGGCAATGACGCGGACGGCTCTCTCCCAGTTGCCAAGAAGACCGACGGACACTGCCAAATTACGCATAGTCAGGAGATGCCAAGGAGGGGATGCGAGAGTAGCCATGGAGCGGGGCCGTGTGCGCGTGCGCGAAAAGGGGTTCTTACAAGAGTCTACAATACAGAGCAGATCCTCTCCGACCCCCTGTGGAAATGGCGGAGGCCTCTCAGTCAAGCAGCTGGCCGCGGACACGGGACACGGACGGGCGAGTCTCAGAACCAACACGGCATCCACATGAAGGACCCCAGCGCGGCGCCGGTGGCGGCTCCCGCCAGCAAGCCCAAGGCCATCTGGTCTCCGGACACACGGTACGGGTCTTCGCGGATGATCACGTGGGTCATTCCGGGTGCTGGGGGGGGGGAGGCAGAAGTTGTCGTTATTCTCCTTTTTTTAATTAAAAATTATAGTTCTGATTTAATACACAGAAAATTTCTTGTAAAAACCCCCATCATCAACAGAGTCGTACACGTCGTCAAAGGGTAAACACCATCTCTGCTAACCTAACGTATACATTTCTTGATAAGTTTCTCGTTCCACGTATACATTCCTGACCAACATTCTAAATGCATTTCTTCACCTCTCCCTTGTAAAAAAAACAAGTTCATCGATCCATTTCAGCCCTATCCATCGATTTCCAAACATTTCACGATCAAAATTCTGGCCGAAGTTGTAACAAATATTATCATACTTAAACCTAGTTTGCTAAATCCATCTGGAATAATATTCAATTAGAAAATATCTGGTTCAAAGGGTACCTTGATCCCTATTAATTCTCCTAACGGTTTGGAAATGCTTTCCTTGCGCCTTCTTGTGAGGGGGCGATTGAGGAAATGACCCCTGGAAACTAGCATTTCTTGGGGCTGTGGGAAGCAACCGTCTGGGCAGTTTGCACTCCTCGCCACTAGATGTCACGACAACCTTGAGAACGCTGCTTAAGCCAGAGGTGCTGGAACCGCCCATCATTAACTGTCTGGGTAGCTCCAGCGTACCAAAGGGAGTCGCTCTGAGAGCCAAAAAGACACAACTATGCCCCACGTGTAGGTTTGCTAGCTCTGGGTTTCGAAATTCCCAGAGATCTGCCCATAGCACTATTTATAGAATTGTCAGTTTAATCATCTTGCAGGAAGTTTTAAAGACTGCCCAGAAAAAGCTTCTTACCTGGTTTGCCTTCTTGTACCACTGTTGAGTAGATGATTGCTTGAGTGGGGTTGTTTTAATTTGTTTATTTGTATTTATTGACATTAAATTATGTCGTGAGCCGCCCTGAGCCCATTTTGGGATACGGCAGGATAGAAGTCCAATAAAAAATAAGAGATTGAATTTATACCCTGCCTTTCATTCAGACTCTCAGAGCGGCTTACAGTCTCCTTGCCCTTCCCGTCCCCACAACAGACGCCCTGTGACGTAGGTGGGGCTGAGAGAGCTCTTTCGAGGACTGCCCTTGAGAGAACAGCTCTGAGAGAACTTGTGACTGACCCAAGGTCACCCCAGCAGCTGCACCTACCTCACAGGGTGTCTGTTGTGGGGAGGGGAAGGGAAACGAGATTGTGAGCCGCTCTGAGACTCCTTCGGGTTGTGAAGGGCGGGGTATAAATCCAATCTCCCCCTCCCCCTCCCCCTCCTCCTCCTCCTCCTCCTCCTCCTCCT